GCGCTGACCACGCGCTTTCCTCCTTCCCCAGGCTTTGCTCCAGCTGCTAATAATACACTTTAATAAAGAAAAGAGCTGCTGGCACACTTTTCCCTCCCTGATGATGCTCTGCAGCAGATTGATTAGCCCGTAGTTCACGCTGTGACTGATTGCTGACTTTCTCTCTCATGCCATGTGTCCGGCCAGCTCAGCATTCTCCTACAGTGTTAAACCCCCAGCTGCACAACACTGGCTCGTGAAAAGGAGGCCAATTAAAACGTCCTGCCACCTGGATTTATGACGGCAAAAGAGAGGCAAATGGAAGTGGTGCGCACAGGAATAATCAATGTTAAGTAATCACCTCTTTATTCTGTGTTGTAGAAAGGAGAGCAGAAGTCCGTTTTACAGCTTTGAAGCAAGAAGGGAATGATTTTGTGAAGAAGGGTCAGTACCAGGAAGCTCTGGGGAAGTACGCAGAATGCCTTAAGCTAAAGCCAAAGGAGTGTGCAATCTACACCAACAGGTTAGATAACTCGGTATCTCTCTGTCTCTCTCTCTCTCTGTCTGCTGCTGTGTTCTTTCTGTTGTCGGCACACTGCTGAGAATGAAGAAAGGAAACTGCTGCTAGGATGAAAAATCTCCTGCTGTGCGATTCTGTTCGCACATGTCATGAACTCTGCTGTGAAAATAGCTTTTCTGTGGTACAGAACAGACGCCAAGGTCACCTCAAGGTCGCTGCTGAGGAGTAACTGGCAAATGTATTTAGAGACAAGAGATGATTTAATGTATTCTAGTCCCTTTTTTCAATATTTAACCCTCCCACGACCTTAAGAGAAGGTGTCAATTGAATCTAGTGAGCTTTTTAACGTGTGTGTGGTCCGACATGCACTTGTGTGAGTTTTCCGATTGTCCGACTGTGACATCTGCCACGCTTCACCTGAGCGTCATGCTAAGACTGCAGCACGGTTCAAAAAAATCTTTATTGAATCTCAACTTTAGGTAATAAACATTCCTAGTGCGACGCTTAGGAGGAGCGGGGAGAAGTGGGTTGTCCCATGAGATCGTCATCAGTTTCCAAAATGTCACAAAAAAGGCTCATGAAAGCGCACACGGAGTCAGGGCAACCCTGCCAGACCGCGCACAGAGTAAAACACTTGTGGAGTCTAAATGACTCTTAAGACCATGGGAGGATTAAATATAGATTTTCTATATCTGTTTTTTTTTTTTCTTTTTCTTTCTTTTCTTTTTTTTTTTTGAATTCTCAGGGAAATTCTTAGTATGTTCTTTCAAACTCTAAGTATGAAAGAACATACTTAGAGCTGTAACTAAGTAGAAACTGTACTATACGTTTTGCATTGAAGATAAACGATAAGAATCTTGTAAATATGCTCTCCCTAAAATTTCTCAAGTGCTACAGTGTTAGCGTCACCCGCTTCAAACTCTGCAAAACAACATCTTCTATTGCACACCTTTGGCTTCCAATTATTAATCAGTTCGTCCATAAAACGATCAACAGACCAGCCGTACACTGGGCTTGGCTTTTCATGATGATATCAAAATTAAAATCCGATTAATCAATAGAATAATCGATTGCTAAAATATCCTTTAGCTGCAGCCCTACATAAGGATGATTTTATGTCTTAAATGTCTAAAATTCTAAAGATAAAAACGTCTTCAATTTAACATATTACATTTGTAGGAAACTAGTTGAAAGTAATCATCTTTCTACTGCGACTTTAAAAAGCAGTCACACTCCTCAAACTTTACAGCCCCAAACATACGTAGGTGTGTTTTATTGGGATCCCGTGATAAACACAGAGAAGTCCAGAAGCTGTGGGCTTTTGTATTCAACCTTCTTTACTCTGGTACCTATAAATAAAATTCAACGCAACCAGAAGAAAAGTAATTTAATTGATAAAGCTAGCAAGCAGAGCTAGGTCAAAAAAACAATATTTTACTGCTTGATCCGTGGTCTGATAATAACAGAACATGGAGCACGTTATTAAATTCAGCTCCAGGCTAACGATAGACATTCATCTGTCAAGCCAAGTGGCTGGTGAGCAGAACTGACAGGTTGTTGGTGCGATTCCAGAGCCCTGTGCTACCTAAAGCTGCAGCGGTTTGGTGAGGCCAAGCAGGACTGCGACGCCGCGCTGGAGCTGGAGCCGGACAACAAGAAGGCCTTCTTCAGACGGGCCCTCGCCAACAAGGGCCTCCAGGTCAGCAGACACAAACACTTCTGTCTTCATCAAAACCGGCGTTGGCACAAACGTCACGTTTGGGTGCAGCATCAACTCCACAGCCGGCTTGTGTGTTCGCTCCCATCAGGACTACCTGGCCTGCAGCTCGGACCTGCAGGAAGTGCTGCAGCTGGACCCCAATGTGCAGGAGGCTGAGAAGGAGCTGGAGGAGGTCACGGTTCTGCTCAGACAGAGTCTGGCCGGCGCCACGCAGGACAAACCCAGGAAGACTGTCGCCATCACAGAGGTGCGTCTCTGTTCTGTTTGATGGACAGCCGGGCTGGGCCGTCTGCGCTCCGCTCACACCTGAAGATACGTCTTTTATTTCTGATGAAGTCAGAACTAAAGGACGATGTGATTGGAGCCCCAAGTGTCCATAATATAAACATTACAGATGCATTTGAATAAATTAGAATATGTGAACCTCGCTTGTCAGCTTAAAAGCACCTTTTAATAATAACTTTTTAGCAGGAAGTAGATTGCTTTGCATTAAGCCCATATTTCTGTATTAAGATTTATAATAAGTTTATTTAGCTGCAAGTGGAAAATCATCATAACAGGAAAAAATGCTCAAAAACATCAATCTGTGTGAATAAAAAGCTGCTTCAATTGGTGACATAAACCTTCACTGATTGAGATACACATCAGCAAAACAACAACATAGTGGTCCTGGTTGGAATTTATTAGCTGACCACAGATTATCTTTATTTTTATTTATATTTTTATCGTAAACGTTGCTAAATATGGCAAGAGTTGCTAAATCAAGCTTACATGTGCGGAAGCTGACGTGGTGGTGAGTTTTCAGACGTTTGCTGAGGTTCCACATCCATAACTCCCATGACTCTGAGACGTGTCTCCGTCTCGTACCGCAGGTTGACGGCGAGGAGGCCGCAACGGAAACTCCAAACCCCGAGAGCAGCAGCGCAGGAGACAACATCAGCATCAACCTCAAACCCGGCAGCGCCTATGAATTTGGTCAGTCTTTGAACGCAGCGCGCTGCTGCGGAAACACGGCGGCCTGCGCCAAACTGCTGGCATCCACGGAACCAGAACTGCTTCCCCAGTATCTTAGCAACCAGCTGGACGGACACACCATCGGCTTCATCGTGAAGACACTGGACTCGCATTTACTGGAAGAGAAGCCCGACTTGGCGTACAGGCATCTCAATCAGCTGCACACCGCTGACAGGTTCCGGGTAAGAGGCGGTTCAAACGGTTCCGTTGGTGAATATTTTAAAAATCGAACCCGTTTATGAATGAAGGTAAACAGCTGAACTGTGTCTGCAGGTCGCTCTCATGATGCTGGAGAAGGACGAGCGTCGCTCCGTGACTCGGCTCTTTGAGCGTCTTTCAGCTGTGGAGAGCGCAACGTTCACCAAGGATGATGTTCAGAACCTGGCCAACCAATACATCTGAGCCCCTCTGCCTCCTCCATGCTGCATGAGCTGCTGCTCCTCCAGTCTGGGCTCGATGCACAGACGACACCAGAACCAAGCTCCCAACGTTTCCACAGAAAGACCAAGGAACTGCTTGAAAATCTGACCGACAAGTTCTGAATGTCTTCTTATTTTTGGATAAAAGCTTAAGATATCTTTTTTTTTTTCTTCAGAACAGTTTGCTATGCAGATTTTATGTACCAGCACAAACCACTTTAAGTGAACATCTGGATCATTAAGTGTTCCAGCCTCAATGTGGGATCGGTCGAGTGGAGAGTCAGACGGCCGGGCCCCCAGTGGTCAGCCGGGATTACATAACAGAAACTCGTGTTCCCAGAACCGAGCTTTGTTTATTTGATCCATGAAGCTTTTGAAATCAGAGGCTGTTATTAACCAGCCATGTTTAGAGAAGGTATTCAGTGCTACTTAAGGAAACTGTGGCTGTTAGCAACTGAAGTCACCTTCACTACACAAACAGAAACAACAAAGCTCATTGCCCCCAAAACTTTCATGTTCAATTCTGTTTCAGCAACTATGCAACAATATTGAATCACTAAGGTTTGCCACTGGTATAAGCTGAGGTCAACAGTCTGCCAGGCGAGGCAAAGATCCACTTTCACCTTCATATGAGCTATCAGACGTGAAAGCTCGAGGGAAGCGGCGTGCTTATCGTTTTGATTCTGCTAAATATTTGGTTTAGTTCCCAGTTTTGTTTTTTTTTTGCACTGATTGCAGTTTTCTGTCCGATTCCAGTTTTAGCCGATACCGTTACGTTTTTGTCTAAAAGGTCACGGTGTGGTGACCTCTCTCACAGCAGAACAAAAATAGTCACCAGGTGATTTAGATCTTTACAGGTAGATGAGGCCGGCAGATAAAATTCAAAAATCGCACAAAATAAAGGAAATCTGGGTTGATTTATCAGAGCACCTCTAGATTTTTTAGTTCTCAATTTTACATGTAATCAGACCATAATTAGAATATGCTTCTTTTTTTCTTTTTTTTACATTCTTGAAGAATAAAAATGAAATGAAACATTCTGATTATCCTAAACTGAGAGCTGACCCAGTTTTAAAGTCATTTTGAATGTATAGAGTTAAATTCAGGGACCCGATCCAGGGGCGAGAGGCAATAATTTCATATTTTATTTACATTTGTTCTCTACAATCTAGTTTTATCTGTATATGTTTCAGTAAAATTGTCATCTGTACAGAATTCAGAGGCCTGTTCAATAAAGTCAAAGGAAATGTGTTTCGCGTCACGTTTCACATATTCATTGTTTTGCTTAAAAACAACACACACATTTAATATACTTTTTTTTATTTTATTTTTTGCAGATATGCATTTACACGCATATAGTAAAGCAAATTACCAAACAAATATACAAACACCTTATCCCGTTGTGCACAAACGACCAATTTTATCTTGACACCGGTGTGCAAATTACAACCAAAACATTTGATTATTTTGGTCAAAACCAAGAAAAAGAGGAAGAATGAGCAGAAAAATCTTAACTGTGATGAAGGGAGATCTGCAGCCAGGAGGCTTTATCCACAGAACCAAACCAGAACAGACCTGGGTCAAAACCACACTGCTAGTAGAGGTTCACCAGAGCCAGCTCAGCAGCCTCAGTGCAGACCACAGAACAGTTTGGGAGAAAGAAAAAAAAAAAAAAAAAAAGACACTGACTTCAAGTCTGCTCAGCAGCACACAAACCCGAATCACATGACAAACTCAACGTTCCCATCAACCTCTGCGTCAGTGCAGGTGCCTGGAGCCTCACTTATTTGCGCAACTTTAGTGGAACATGTAAAAACAGCAGTGTGTGTGTGTGTGTGTGTGTGTGTGGGAGAGACCCTGGGTCATGTCTTCATTCATCCCCACGGTGTTTTAAAAAAAAGAAAAGAAAAAAGGTTGCGTGTTACTGAAGAGTCAAAGACCTAACAAGAGCCTGAGTGCTGTCTTTGGTAGGCTGTTGAAAAGTCTTCAGTTAAACTCCGCCGCATTGTGAAAGAGCGCGCCTCTAGCAAACGCACTCTGCTGTCGGTACGACGTTCTCCTCGCTCCCGTTTGGACTCTAGAAGACAAGAGAGGAACACGAGCAGCTTCCTGAAGGCACCATGAGTTAAGATATCAAAGCTCTCAGAGGCCAACGCAGAAAGCAGCTCTAACAGTAAACAAATCACTTCTTTGTACAATTTCGGTCAGCTGACCGACCCGCTGAGTAATGTTACAATTCTAACTTTAACCCTCCCGCAGTCCTAGGACTCGAGTGGACCCGCTGTTCACTGTCCAGGCAGAGTCGCACTGATCTTGTCTGCACTTTAACAAAGTTTTTTATTCGTTTGTTTTTTTTATTTGTGATTTTTGGGAAGTACTGAGCCTGTAAATGGACTTTGAAGGAAAAAAACAACCGTTCTCGAGCGCAGCACAGTTTTATTTCCCCTCATTTACGGGCTGACCCCGTGGCTTTCTACTCGACCCGACAGTGACATCTGCCACACTCTACATGAGCGCCGATTTCAACTACGGGAGGGTTCAGCAAAATCTACAGCTTCGGCCTTCCAGAGACTTTTTTATTTTTTTAATCACTAATCAAATCGGTTCCAACCTTTCCCAGAGCAAAATTCTGCCCAAGTTTTCAAAGTTATCTTGGCACTAAAAGACACTTGAGTTTCGAGCTACAGAACAGAAAGCAGTGGAGCACCATCTCCCTCAGTAGATCTCAGCATTGGAAAGGTCGAGTTCAGAGCTGGAACGGTTCAGTGTGATATATATTCAAAACGGTTACTTTTACATTTACGGGGGAAGAAAACAAACCAAAACGACATTTTGCCTGGTCCCTCACTCGGTTTGTCTCAGGAAATCAGATCTATTTAATGCTGTATGATGAATTGAAGAACTTTATTTTGTCCTACAGATCAATGCAACAGCCAATCAGTGAACAGCTTCGTGTGAAACGTGACAAATAAGAAAAGATCTGAAACAGAAACAGCCTCAGGAGGAACTTTAACGCTTTCAGGTGGCTGCTAGGAACAATTTTACTCAAAAGCTGCTTCCCTTGGAAAACCTCCATCCTAATAAGATGCATCTCTTACTCGGGAATAACCAAAACTGTAAAGCAGCAGCTGTTAGCTTAAAGAAGGAAAGGAGGTGGTCTATAAAGTGAGTGCAGCACTTTAGGTATGGAGTTTATTAAATATCAGTGTGTAAGCAGAGGTTCCTGGCCTGCTGCTCGGGCGGAGCCGCTTCCTGCGGCTGGTGGAGGTGGTGGTGGTTGTGCTCCTTCAGGAGCTCTCCTCCGTTGCAGTCCAGCTCGCCGGCACACATGATGTTGATGTTCTCGTCCGTGACGAAGCAGAGCCCCGACAGGTCCGTGCCGTTCCCCAGGGAGGAGGCGGTGGAGGTGGAGGTGGGGGACTGAGGCGAGAAGTGAGAAGGACACGACTCCAGCCGGTCGTTCTCCACCTCGGGGAGGGGGCTGACGGTGGCCAAGCGCAGGTGGTAGTCGCCGCCGCCGGAGCCGTGGCTGCACGACGTCCTCATGCTCTCCAGGTCGGAGCAGCTGAACTCGGACATGCGGCTGCAGTGGGAGTCGGCCACGGAGGGCAAGCTGCCGCTGAGCGACGGCGAGTCGAACTCCGAGGAGTTGGTGCTGCGCTGCTCCAGCAGCTGAGCGTCCATGTCCTCCCGCGTTTCGTTGATCTTGGTGCCGCCGCTCTTCTTGCGCAGCTTGCCTTTGCTCTTTTTGCCGCCGGCGCTGAAGGAGGAGGCCGACGCCTCTTTGGCCCACTTGGCGGCCGTCCCTCTGCCTTCAGAGGAGCTGCACCCGGCCGTGGGGTTGCTCCAGCCGCAGCGGCCGGCGGCGTTGCTGCAGCCGTCGTCGGCGCTGCTGCCGCCGCTGTGGTGCCGTCGCTTGACGGGTTTGGACTCAATGTCCACCTGGACCTCCATACTGTTTCCCTCTCTGGAGGGACGAGGGGAAAAACACGAATCAGAGCTCAACGCTTCTGCCACAACAAAATCCAAGCATTTTCAGTGTAAGTTTACCAACCTTTACAGCACCACACTTAGGAGATAAAGATACATTTCAAACCTCAAAATCGTTACAGAATATCATGTATTAATATCTTGCGATAGCATTCTACATTTTAAACTAAAATATTACAAAATGTTGCCCTTCTTCAAATTAAAAAGAGCGTCAAACATGTGCGCCGGGTTTGTGCAGCCAATATTTTTGTTTGTGCTGCCATCATTTTAAAGATATTAAGAAAAACATTCAGAAATGACAGAATTATATATATTGTATACCAGCTCAAATATAGCACAATTAATTTATATCAATTTCTTTTGATTTAAACTTTATGTTTGAAATATCACACACACACACACACACACACACACACACACACACACACACACACACACACACACACACACCTGACTGGTCCGAGAAAATAAACATATTTTAAAAAATTAAGACAATCTTTATTTCAGTTACAAAGATCAATAAGTAACTGAGCCATTAGATGCGAAAAATATTTTTAAAATGAATTTTTTTTAAAGTTCTTGCCACGTTTTCTGGCATTTATCAAACAGAAACACGTTAAAACAAGATAAGTTTCATCTGATTCAAATTCAGACAGTGAGAAAAAATGTCGTCTTATTAATCAGGCATTAGACTGAACTTCCTTACCAAACTTATCAGTTTGAACATTAATCAATCACTATACAGAATTCAAACACCTCATCGGAATTGAAGGATTTTCAAGAATCTTAAACACCAGTAGGAAACCTGATGATAACAGCACAGTTGGTGTGTGTGTTCAACTATGATTCTGTGCTGTTTTCATCCTTCAAGAAAACACATTCACCTATTAAATTGTAATATTTTGAACAGAAAACTAGCAGCATGTAAAGAAGCCCAGCAAATGTGCTTGAGATACGTTTGCAGAGACAGGAGGTAAAAACTCGCTCACAGAGGCATGTAGGCATTGAGAATGGAGCCGGCCATCGCTTTGGTGCTGGCGTTGTCGCTGATGGTGCCCAGGCTGACGGTGGCGGACTCCCCGCTCAGACTGCAGCGCTCCTTCTGCACGTCGGCCTGGACCTCCATCCTGAGACGGCGACACATTTTGGGTGAAGCGGGAACAGAACAACGAGATGCAGCGCTGGCTGGAGTGCTTTCGGCGGGCGGCACCTGTGCAGGTAGTTGACCATGGCGCTGCCGGACAGGCTGCCGGTGATGCTGGCTCCGGCCAGAGCCGTGGTGGAGGCCGTCTCGCTCAGGTTATCCCTGGCGGCGCCGAGGCGGTCCATGTGGCTGCCGCTGGCGCTCAGGCTGCCCGTCATCCCCCCGACGCTGCCTTCGCCGATGCTGGGGTTGTTCCGGGTGTCGGCTACCGATGTCGTATCTATGACACAGAGATAATTCAATGTATTCACAATACATAGTACTTTTGAAATGAAATTGTTGCTTATTTTGTAACACACAGTTCTGATTGACCCTGCGATTGACCCGCTCAAACATTTCAGTCCCATCACGAGAGCGTCTAGTTCATCTTGAGAAGTAACAGTTACCGGTAGCGGCCGTTCCGTTGCCAGCGTTCATGTCGTTCTCGTCGTCGAACTCGATACGAACTCCCTTTCCGTTCCCGGCCGACACGCCGCAGCCTCCGCTGCGGCACAGAGAGATGGGCACCACGCCGTAGACGTAGGCCAGCATGATGGGAACGCCAATGCCTGACGGAGGGGGCAGAGCGAGACCAGCTGTCTTGATGATACCAACAAGACTGCAGCAGCAGAGACCGAAAGTCGCTCAGAAAACGGAACTTTCATGAGAGATTCTGGCTCAAAACAACATGTTCATGTTTAGCTGAGTGTGATGTCTAGCCACAAGTCAAGAAGTCAATAAAGATGTGAAGATGTAGATGAGGAAGAGGAAGAGACTGACCGACGGTGACTGCAGCCACCACAGGAGACACGATGGCAGACAGCGTCACTCCACCAGCAATAACCAGGTTCCTCTCATGGTTGGAAATATCCTTGCCTTCGTAGCGGCTATGGATCTGGCGGGAACAGTCCAGACATGAGGGAGAGTTAACCCTGTGACTGCCAGGCAGTTTCCATTCTGACTGGAGGCCATTTGAACTGCAGGACGTGACTTAAGAGCGACTTTCTTAAAGGCTGGTCAGAGCTGCATAGAGAAACTCTGACAGACGAATCAAATCCAGTAGAGCTGGAACAATTAATCGTGTTGAATCCATTTACTGAAATGATCGTCAACTAACTTAGAATCAACTAATCGCTATCTAAAGTATGCAGACTCAAAAACAAAACAAAAAAAACAATAGGGATATTTGCTCTAAGAATATTGTGAGTCATAATGAGGCCAAAACTGTACAAAAAATATAAACATTTTGCATTGAAGATAAAAAAAACAAAAAAAACTTATTTGTTTGTTCTCAAAACTCAAGGACTGAGTTGTTCACATGCTGATGTTAGGATTTTTTATGGTGTGTATGTGGAAAAAGCTTTCACTATAAGAATGCTGTTATTGCATCTTAGACAATACAATGTTTTTATGAAACTGAATTTGTTTATTTGCAAAATTTTAATGCACTTTGACTATTGACTAAAAGAGGTTTGAGAGGCTAAAAAAACTTGAGAATTAATTGTTAGAATAATCGATTACTAAACTAATCCCTGGTTGCAGCCTGAGAGTCTAGACATCGTTTTATTTACTTTAGAGAAGGGAAGAAATGTCTCTTGGCTCTGGCTTCTTCTTTTGGCAGGCTCCAGCGGGGGATTCTGGAGACTTAGTAATGCCACATTATTGGAACGAGAAATTATAACTCCTCACGCAAGAATGTTCTTAGACAAAATTAGTAGTTTGCAGCAGGAAAAAAAAGTTCACTATACTCAGACCAGTTAAGTGGAAAATATCTGAATATAACCAAGCACACAGTTCCATCTCCATGAGTAAAGCAGGAAAAAAAAAAAAAGGATTTCCCCTCTGTGTTGTTCTGTCTCACCTTCCTGCCCACGTATACAGGTATGCCAATGATCATGGCGGGGATAGCTATCCCAGCAATCAGAGCGATTCCGACAGGAGCGCCCACTAGTGTTCCCAGCTGCCAAAGAATCTTCTTCTTCCTGCTCCAAGGCTTCTTCCCCCAGAAAGTACAGCCTGACGGACTGAAACCAGCAGCACAACGGTTAACTTTCACCAAACTGATGAAAACATCTTCTAAAAAATACAAATAAAGTTTGAATAATCTGAAATTTGAGGAATGAAAAGGTACTGAATGCATAAAGGAAAATAACAGAACTGTGGTAGATATTGTGCAAATTTACGACCAAAGGTAAAGACATACAAGGTGTGAATCAATGCAACAGAAGATGAATTTTAATACTACAGATTTTTTTCTTTTTTTTTTTTGTCTGAAAAGTTGTCAAGTTGGCCACAGTGAGCCGACTGCTGTTAACTGTACACACACACACACATAGAGTAAAAAGGGACAGGCTGATTTTCAGGAGGAAGTTAATGTTGGTTTCTCGTGTCAGCATCGGGCGATCGCCGATTTCCCAAAATGAAGACAAATCGAGGTTAATCACCGTTTTATTCCTACCGTGAAATCACATTTTCATTCAACATTCTCAACATTGATTGCAATTTAAGCCTAGTGAAAAATATCCTCTCCTTACTGTTTAAACTGACTGTTCTGGACTTGGCGTGCAACTCTTACCTCAAGTAGTGCAAGTCTGAAATCTCCTTCATGCAGAGCCAGCAGAACTCACAACCACAGACGGCACAGGTCATGTGGTTACAGCTCCCGTCATTCATTTTGACGATGTAAGCGGCGCAGCAAGGACATGGCTTAATGTCTTCGGCTGCAACAAAACAGGACATGATGGACGGGGAAGAAAAACACATCAGAGCCGTAAATGGAAATAAATAGACCTGACAAGCATTTGATTTTAGCAGCACTGGACAGCTGGTCTCTGCCGAGCTCCAAATTTATACTCAACTGGTGCAAAGTCTGATAAATCATGAACTTTTTAGCTTTAGCATTGCTTTTGATTTATTTCACATTACCCTAATAACTTTCATTATGGCAGAAAAAATATTGGCTTACGTGTGTTTAATCCATACAATGTGTTTCGCCAAGTCAAATAAATGAACTTTTTCAGAATTCTCTAAGTTACTGGACGTGGTTGTGCGCTTTCGGGAGCAGCCCACCTGCGGCGCTGCTCTCCTGACTGTAACTGAGGGAGGACGAGCGCACGGTCCTCAAGCGGAGACTCTGGGCTCTCTGCTGGCGCGCCGCGTCGCACGTCTGGTTGGGGTGCCACCGCTGCTTGCAGTGGTAGCAGAACTCCGTGCCGCAGCCCTCCCTGCCGCACGTGATCTTTGGACAGCTGGCACAGCCGAAGGCTATTACTGCATACCTGGGAAGCAGCAACAACATGAATGAATAAATCGCTTCAATATGTGATGGTCACAACACAACAGCTGCAAACAGTGCTGGATATTTATTATGTCATGTGTTAGCTTATTGTCTGAGGATGAATGCGGTTCGGTTTCATCGTTTACGTTTAATCTATAAAATATTAAAATGGGGAAAAACATCAAGTTTGACGCTTCTTGGTCTGAACACTGAATGTGGTCAGATTTCAGTGTATTTAAATGAGTTTTGTCGCTTTGTAGTTTGATATATTCCACAGAAAAGTTTGCGTGGCTGCTGCACATTTTCATCCCAGTGAAAAGGTGTGTGTGTATATTTCAGCAAACTTTGATGCAAAGTTAATTTTTATACATCCCGATTTGTGCGTAAAATATAGCACTGCACATTTTTTGTGCGCGCGCACAATTGAGCAAAAATTGTTTTAGATTTTTTGCATCATGGGAAAAAATAAATAAAGCTAGATATAATGAATTTATACTGTTCATGGATGAATGCACACTGAATATTTGAAATAGTTTTTAAAGGTCAGATTTAAAACAACATGGACTGTGGAGTGTCAGCAGTGCGTCAGACGGTTCATTCAGGGAGGCTGCTAATCATCCACCTCAATCCAATCCCATCAAGTGATGCTAAACACAAGAGAGTCACATTTCAGGGGTTGAATGACGTTCTGGAGGTTTGTGTAGCAGTTGGGCTTGACCTCAGGGCTAATGTTTAATCACAGAGCCACTGAGGGCCTGGGAGACTTCCTCCTCTCTGTATCAATTTACACAGAGATCCCCATCTAGAGCGCAGACAGAGAAGGCTTCCCTGTCAGCCCAGACAGACACCGGACACCAGTGGGCTCCAAACTGTGGCCCAGGGGACATTTACGCCCATCTGCACACTTTCCTGCGGAACAAATTTATAGCAAATGGAGCTGATATAGACTGATGCTGAATAGTTAAGAGTTTAAATATCATAAACTTTTAGTGACTGATTTTTCCATAGCAACAGGACTGGCTCAAAGAATACAGCTCAAACAAATAACTACACATCAGTTTACACACATAACATGAATAAGCACTAATGGTACCAATTAGCATTAAGTTATTCTCAATTTTAAGTTGAGAGTAACTTAAAATTCTTCCTTGCTCTAAATGTGGTAGAGAAGAAAAAAAAGACCTCAAAAACACTATTTGTTCATTTTACACAGACACTGAAGATGCTTACATTTGCTTTCTGGAGCTAACAACACACTCAAAATGTTCAGTGAACAGTCAGTTATCTGAAATATTATCATAGTGGTTGTTTACATGTAAAGAACCAACACGGGTTCACTCAGATGGATTTTAATACAAAGTGTTTTGTATTACGTTTGTCTGCTTCCGCTGCTTACCCACAGTCTGGCGCGGGACACCAGCGGCAGTCCGGATCTGAGACCAGCCACCTCCTCAGCATGAACTCCTCATATTTCTCCATCAGCACACGGTCCCCCAGAATCATGCGGATGTCGTGCGGGTTGAAGCGCTCGGCGCACTCGGGGCAGCTGATGTTGATGCGCGACTCCGAGATCTCGATGCGCAGATACTGGCGCAGGCAGTCGCTGCAGGAGCGGTGGTGGCACGTCATGATGTCGGGGAAGCTCTCCCTGGAGAGGCGTAGAAGGCACAGTGGGCACTCCAGCAGCTCCGCCCCTGCTGCTCCCCCCGCCTTAGCTGAGGAGCTGGTAGCAGCATAAGAAGGCCCTGAGGCGGAGGACAACGAGGCGGCAGCGGCGAAGGCGGCTCCCGTCCCCACCGCGGAAAAGAAGGCCGAGTTCTTGTCATTGCACATTTCAGAGTGGATGCTCTCGATGCTGGCAATGCCGTCCACTCCCGTAAGGCCACCCGACCCGGGGTACTGGAGGTCCCTGGACCGCTGGCGGCCTGATTTTGTGTCCCGGCCTCGTCTTCGGAAGAGAGAAGCCAGAGAGAGGCGCCTCTTCTTCGGGGCCTTCTTCACTGACGGAAGGGAGATGGAAGAAGTGGCAGACTGCAGGTCGCGGTCAGAATCCATGACCCCGACGTTTCCAGCGCCCAGCTGCTGCTTCTGTGAGCTCATCTCCACGGAAGGAGGAGATAGGCGCACCGGTGGGGAGCCAGCACTGGGCAGCCTGTCTCGCACGTGGGTTGAGAGGTGGGGGAGAGGGAGGGGGGACGGGGTGAGGTGGTGGATGGGAGAGGGGCTGGGTGAGGGAGGGATGGGGTGGGGGGGCAGGGCTCCAGAGGGCCCGTCTGAGTTTAGGACATGGTGGCTTCTCCTGATCAACCTCGACGTCACATCTAGCAGCCGGATTTTGGCGAAGAGGCGGGGCTCACGAGGGAGAAAAAGATGCAACAGGACCTGTGGACAAGGGAGAACGGGTGTGAGAGACAAAAAGGACAAGAACAGGAGGAAGAAGAGAGGATGAGGACAATTTTAATTTATTGAGTATCTTAAGTGCCACAAAAAATGGCTATGAGCTATGGCTTTCTTTCTTTATTGTTTTTTTGAATGGAGTGTTAAGTCTAAACAAATACTGAACATTATAACATTTACAGTGTTGGAGTTTGCAGTGCATGTCCCCAGGCGCTACGCATATGGGTGCTGCACTAGAGTGGGCGCCAAAATGAAGGAGAAATGTTACCAATGAGCATTTTCTGTATTGAATGGCTGTTTGTGTCTGTGGAAATGTGCAGATTACACAATTCATCTTTTATTTCTGATTGAGCTGATCACGTACTGGAATACGTAGAATTAAACCTGAACTTTGACATACTGAATATCCAATTGTTTTCCCATTGAAAAAAAAAAGATCCTTAGCTGATCTGTCTAACAAGTGAAAAACAGTCAAACACATTTTCATTGAGTTACAGTAAACTCATTTTATCGCAGAATTGCCTTTAACTTTCAGTGTTTTCAATTATTGAAGCCGTCATCCTTTGCATTCTCCTGGGAACATTTTAATCTTTTATCTTTCAGTCGACCTTCGTGCCTCAGTCTAATGCTTCATGATAATTAACTCTGCCTTGACGAAGAGCTTTCCAGCGAGGGTTTCATTTAGGCTTTCCTGAGAAGAGTTTTTTTTGCTAGACCAACACCATAACTTGACAAAGTCCACGTTTGCTCAGCTAATCAGAACATAACTGCAGTGGCAAAAGAAAAAAACAAGACGTAGACAACCTTGGACAGAAGTGACGCAAAGAGACAGCACTCTGATTTGCCACTAAGATCAACAGTGACGAGGCCTTGGCCGTCAGCCGCTGATAAAGGCCGATAAAGGAGGAAGTGAGCTGCACCACCCTAGACCACTTTTCAGTTGCAATTTTACTCCGACGTACCAGCTAAACTTAATCCGCGGGGGAAAAAAAGGTATTTAAGCTGAACCTATTGTACCTCTTTTTTTTAAAATAGCCAAATAACCTGTGCAAAAAGTGCAAACATCAAAAACACTCAATACTAGCAACACACCCTGTCCTCCAGTCCATAATGGCAGCTGAATGACTGCGAAGATAAACTGCAGTCCAAAAGCTCAATAAAGCACTGGTAAATGATTCATTCAAAGCTAATTTTGCAACACTGGACACATTGAGCAACGCAAACATCCCATCTCTGAGAGAGCCGAAGCTTTTCCTACGAAGCTGCGTTGAGTTTTAGTCAGAACTGTTCAAGATGTTCTGAGAAACGAGGCTCAGTATCTGGAGGCTCAATCAGGCAATTTCTCTATTTCCTGCGTGGCAGCAATTACTTGTGTTATCTTAATGTCTTCAGCAAGCGTCAATGTGTTGAGTTGGACTAATCTGATGAGCGTGTCATCTAGCCACTTGAGAATTTGAAACATTACAACCAAGAGCGAGCAGCAGCAGAAGCAAAAGAGTATTTTTAACTCTATTCTGAAGTTTAGGACTATTATTATACGGTTTAAACTACTGTTTAACACACGAGGTGACAAACTGGACATTCCATAATAAAAACGAAGCACACCATCAAATACATTTTTATGTGCAGAAAGTCAATACCACTCCTGAGGTAAGAAATTACTTTTATATGTGCAGTTGAGGTGTAAAGGTTTGCATTTGTAACAGACACTGCAGTTAAAATTTGGTCTGAATTAACAACTGGTAACAGGAAAGGAGTAAACAGAACCAGTGCATTCAACGTACAACTCTTAACTGCAAGGAATGTAAATATTATATTCTAGCCAAGTCTGCCAACATCTTGCGCCTTCTGTGAGATTTTTTATTTCCTCTTTGCTTATAAAATTAGTATTCAGTTCACCCATTATTCTTGGGCCACAAGCATTGCCTGTGTTAGTTGGGTGCTTGGTGCCCCACCCCAAAAATGGGGAGGGACTTAAGAGTCAGTCCAGAATTACACAGTCGGACCTGGTTGATGACCAGAAAAGAACTGGCACCACAGTCTTGAAGGTTACCATAGTGACATACACCACTATGGATTAAAACCCGACAGCGCTCAAGCCAGTCCATATCCCAGCCTGAAGTTTGCCAATGACTATCCAGATGATCCAGAGGAGGCCTGGAGAGAGGTCAGGAGGTCAGAGGAGACCGAAAATAGAACGTTTTGGTTGAAACTCTAGTCATCGTGTTTGGAGGAAGAACACACCATTCCAACCCACGGCGGCAAAATTGTCATTCTTTGGGAATGCTTTTCTCACAAGGGGACAGGACGACCAAATCGTATTGTGAGGTGGATGGATAAGAATATGCATCCATGAGAGATTTTCCCTCTGTTAGAGCAATGAGGACGGGTTGTGCCTTTTGGGACTGCCTAGCGACAGCCCGGAAAGCTGAAAGATCTGGAGAAGTTCTGTTATGGACAAGTGGACCGTGATTGAAGTGTGTGCAAAGCTGGTCAAGGGCTACAGGAAACGTGACTTTTGGAATTGGAAATAAAGTTGTGTTTTTCTATAATATAAAATACACGTTAAAAAAATCTATTGAAACAAATCCCTTCTAAGAAACTGGTTTATTAATCTGAAAGTATATTGTGATGATTACAAAAACTGTAAAAAAAAAAAAGTATTGATATTTTTGGTCCATAATGCTCAGATCTACATCAATCATCTTGAGCTTTGCTTTGACAAATTTAGACAATATGTAAGAAATTCAAAATGAAACGTAAAAAGCAAAACAGATCTTGAGGAGAACTGACCAACTACTTCTTCAGTCCCGTTTTCACATCTGTGTTATGCTTTGTGTTAATATGCTGAATCTCCATTATTCTAGAGTAATATTGCTGCTAAGGTGCAGTTCTTGTATCCAGAACGTACTGAAAAAGTATTGAAGACTCTTAAACAGAGGGGTGCAGAACCACAATTCCAAGCTCAAAGCCCACTGAGCATGCTCCCTGTCTTACTGTGCCTGTGCACACTTTAGAAAGTTTTGCTGAAAACGCAGTAAAGAGAGCCCCCGCAAACCTGTCAGTCTGCGCTACACGAAAAGATCAAAAGCAGACCTCAGCACAGCAACTCTGCTGCTGCAAGCAGAAGTCACACCACTACACTCTCAGAAACAGGTGCTTCCATCCAAAATCTCTCTTCTCCCATCTTCTTTCTCTCAATTGCAACACAGTTTCAAATAGGAGTCCCATCCCTGCTGTAGGCCTTTCCCCTTAAGAATAAGTCACGTTGCATAGTAGTAAAACTAAAACTCAGCACTGAAAGAAAGTTATACAGGAGACTGGTATGACAATGCCAACTATTCTCCAAAGCAGCTATATGGGTGATGGGTTTCAGTCAACAAGAAATTACTACTTGTGCAAATCAGATATCTTGATGATGCAGCAACTTAAAGGTCTGAAAAAAGCATCAAGTTATACAATAAAATATGTGACAGCCCCTCCGAATGCACACTACTAGCTAACTAGACTTCTCTCTTGCCAATAAGAAAACACAAAGTTGGCTACAATAAGAGGACTTCTCACACATGGACTGGCATATTCTACACAGACTGTGGATTCCTTAAGCCTTAGTTTGTGAAACTAAGGCTCCATTTATGAAAACACACACACAAAAAAAATTTAAAACAGGAGTGCACCGATGAATCAGTGAAGGATATCCTTAATTTTGGGAAATTGATGATTGCATATGAAACCGCATTCTGCAAAAGTCTAAAAATCATTAGCAGTCATCACCCCACTGCTGACAACTTAGCAACTTTGTTGTTATATTTTGCAACTTTTTTAAGACAAAAAAATCAAAAATAGGTATCGGCCATAATCAGAATCAGCAGGTCAGGTGATATTTTTTAAGTAGTATTCAATTAAATGACTGGGCCAAGCGTCTCACAGCAGCATTCACCTCTGCTGACTGACTTTCACACAGTTCATTTGTATCACTGTACTGCAACAACACTGAAAAACCACAAGTATGAACCAACTTTCACAAGAAGAATCAAGTACTGTCAAATCGGGTTAATAAACCGATGTGTAAGACTGACAGACGGTCAAAACACAAATGCTAATTAAAGTCTTGGAACACGGAGCGTCCAGAAACGGATGTAAAGAGCTGAGCTAGTGAACTCTTGCGGTGAGAGTCACTCCGGCTGCATTCCTGTCCCGGGGTCTCCTGTGTAATGCTGCCTTTCTGCACATTCCTGAGCTCCTGCAAAGCTGGGAACAGAGGCTCCACAGGCGAGGCTTCCAAACGCTCAGCGACCGGACACAGAGCAACGTTCTGGCAAGTGAGCTGCAGCGCTGATGTGGGTTTCAACATTACACACAGAAACTGAAACACTGACTGCCTGGAGTGCCGGGGTGCATTAAATTGCACCTAAAACATGAAATAAAATGGCTAAAACACTTGCAGAGGATTAAAAAAAAATAATTTAAAAATACTGAAAACATTTTTTAAGTAGAATTGAAAGTAATAGTTTGCCTGACCATCAATCTGAGAATCTGCCCCCCTGCACTAAACAAAGGATCAAACAGTACAAATAACGACAACAGCAGCAAAAAAAAGAAAAAAGAAAAAAACAGTGCAGGCATTGTTAACATACAAAGGCAGGCGAAGCAGGCCGACAAGGGAAAGAAAAGTTTCCAACGGCAACAAAGCTAGTATAGTGCCCAGCTGCCGCCCCTCCTCTCTGCTCTCAGACGTCCCCTCCTCTCTTCATCCCTCCTCTTAAAGGTGGCGTAGGCAACGATGAGGTAAGCATCCTGGTATTTCTGCTCAGCTGAGAGACCTCAGCCTTCAGGAAGACGGTGTGAAGCAGTCGGATTAGCTGCTCAATTGCAATCAGTTGGCACGTTTGGAAGAAAACAGAGGAACATAAAACGCCTCGACGCGCAGAGCTCATACTCAGAACAGGACCAAACCAGGCTGCTGCAGCTCTTCCACTTAGAAACCGTCACGACTGTATTCAAGTGTGAAAAAGTTTTAAAGTTTCTGCACACTATATAGCTGCATCGTTTTAACATCTAAGGTTAGATGTTCTAAGGCGTGACCTATTTTCTCATTAGTAGGATTATTTTTAAAAATCTGAGGTCTAAATTACTATTTCAGCTCATTGAAGCACTTTAAACAGTTTTTCAGTAGGTTACACATCTTGTACAATTCGCTTCAAATGAACTCTGTGTTTACTAGATTGTTAATGTTTTACAAGTCAATATTGCCTACATAAACAGTGAAATTAAAAAAATAAAGAAGTGAAGCTGTAAAACTGACGTCAAATGTGATGCAGTTGAAAATTAAGGTGAACCTAACTTCTTTTCTTGGTGAACTTGAGAATAAAAAAAGTGCAGAGTTAGTCTAAAGCTTTGCTATGAACTTTGGTTTTCTTAATCCAGCTACTTAAGAAAGATGAATAAATTTTAAAAATCATTATTTCCATCTCAGCATCTGCGTCTTACTGGTTGGGTTGAGTCTGGCCAATATCGGTTTTATCCCCAATTTCCAGTCAGGGGAAAAGTTAAGTCAACAGGTGAATCAGCACAAAAATCTGTGTGTGTTTGCATGTGTGTGAGGGGAACCGACTGGGCTGCAGTCAGAGTCTGAACACTGAAAGATTCTTGGATTTCTCAGACCAAAATAATGAAGGGCATACTTGAAATAAACCAAACAATTGACAAATTGAACGTGAAAGTTAAAAGAACTCAATTTTTAAATGCAGTTTTGTATAAAATATGTATTTTACAAATACAAAACCTGCTTATCATAAATCCTTAATGTTTCTGTGGTCCAAACAATATCTTGTCTGTTAAGATATTAATAATATTTTTAGATTAAACCTAAGACTGAGAGTCATTCCAAAACCTACAAACAAATTCACAACCTCAAATAAAATGTTCCAAACTCTCGAAACACCAGTTTAACGTGCAACACTGTTCAACTCATATTCAATTATGGGCTGAAACTAGTATAGAAATAAAGGCCATCCAAATTCAGTTATCAAGTATAACCAAATATTACAGGTAAAGAAAGAATTAATGAGAAAAAAAACAAACATTTTTTTAATACATCTCATATTGTTTATGCTCATATTTGCATTTTCTAATATTTAACACTTTGAATGAGGTAGCTCCTAAAAAAATAAGCATTTTCCCCTTGGAGATCAATAAACTACATTGCATACCAAAGTGTGGCATTTAAACAATTTGTTTAACATTTATTGCAGTGTATACAGACCTTCCCAATATTCACATTATGTGCAGTGATATTATATTTTGCACTTTTGGGGCAAGCAGTAAATGCAGATTTTTTTTTCGATAAAAACAAAAGCATTAACATTGTTTCTGATTTTTAAAGAAAATTGAGTGATTCGATCTATTGTTCAAAGCTTCTCAGTAAAGGCTGTTTAATCCACTCCTTGTTCATATTGATCATGTTTCATTTGTTTACCATGTCCTTGCTGTTCAACAGCATTAGCTTCAGAAAACTGCTGGACATGCAGCACATAGTGTTTTTCAGACAGTGTGCAGTGATGCTAAACTGTGACATCGGAAAAATGTCTAAAGTCTAAATTTCAGTAGGTAAAGTAAACACCAGTTACAAAAGATAACGGTAAACCTTTTTTTTTTTAATTCAGCTTCAAAGTGGACCACAAAATTGGGATCCTCTCCACTTACAAACTGATGGGTTGTGTGGAAACTTTCACTAACTGGTGTCCTGCATGTGGTCAGTATTGCTTGCAGGAAAGTAAAAACTCAGCACATGCTTAGCACTCCAGGCCACAATGACAACATTCTGCCACGCAGTGAACTGTGCAATCATAAATTCATATTCCATTTGAAAGAGCTGTAAACAGATTAGGAGGACGCCAGAAAGATACCCCGTCCATGTTTAAATAATGAGACAGTATCTTGAAAAAAGCTTTTCAGAAGACAGTAAACATTTTGAACCTGAAAGTTCTCCACTAATCCCCCGGTTCACATGACAGGAAATTGTTTTCACTTTTGTGTATGTTGGATTCTCAACAGTGGCTTTGTCACCTCGTTCTCTGACTGGCTACACGTAATGAAACGTCCATACGTACGTCCTTGCATCAATCCATTCCAGAACCAGGTCACTCTTATCATACCACACGGCGGGAATACACTTGAGCTCAAATTAAGAGTCATCCCGATAATCGGGGGAATCCTTCAGATTGTTGGAAGATGGAAATCGGGACAAAGATCAGCATAAAAAAATCGCAGAGTGAACAAGGTATTCGCAAGTGGAGTAAACATTTATTCAAATCAGCTCTTCATACTGTAGAATATAAACACAAACATGACACCAGTCATAAGGGCGGTAGTATAAGCACATCGCCTGACACCCAATATTATCCCCTTAACACATTAGCCTCATACTAACCCCATAGAGCCGGGGAGTCCAACTCCGGTCCTCGAGGGCCGCTGTCCTGCGACATTTCAACGCGTCCCTGGTCCAACACACTTGAATTAAATTACTGAATAACCTCCTCAACATGAAGCCAAGTTCCCCAGTATCCTACCAATGACCATATCATATGAAGCAGAGAGATATCCAAAAGCCGCAGAAGCCCTTAAGGACTACCTTTTCCATAGGCCATCTAAAGCAAAATGATGGGATAGCATACTCTGGTTTGAAACTATTGAGAGATACACACAGTCATCTGAGCCCAAACTAAAATATAGTCAGGAAACCTGCAGTCACTTTAGTTGCGAGTCATCGCGAAGCCCCATGTGGTGATGTCATGGAATAAGAGACGGATGACCGATACAACGCCTGAAACCTCTTTTAACCACATGAGAAATGAGCTGAAATGCCTTGAAACGGCATTTGTTGTAAACTAGAGCTATATAAATAAACCAAATTAGCTATTACAAGGTATAATAAAGCTTGATATACAATTTAGTGGTGTGCCTAGCCCCTTTTTTTTAATTTCCCCTTTGCTGGACAATAAAGATTTTTTTATTGTATTATATCAGAAGAACAGAGAAATATATGTACTCCTTATTAAGTAAACATTAGTCAAATAGCAAATGTCTTATTTTAAAATTGTTGATCATGATTATTTTTTTGTTTGTTTGTGATGTATGCGACAGGTCTTCCTTGAAAATGAGACAGTGAGTGACAAGAGTTTTTTTTTTTCTGTATCGATAAAGGATGTAAAAAGTCCATCTGTGGCACCAAATCAAAAAATAACTTCAAGAGTCTTCAAGAAATAAGATCACTTTCAGCTAACCAAATTAAAAATGTTCATGTGTCAGAATGAACACAGTGGTGTGACTTTTTACTTTCTGGTCTTGTAGCTGTGTTTACCATCAACCAATAAAGGGAGGTCACACACAGGTCCTGACACACACACAGGCACACAGACTGTGGCATGGAGAGCCACTGACCTTTACTGAAAGATTAGGTGCATGGTGTTAAAAGCCACTGTGTTCTTAGGAAGCGGCTTCTAACATCCAAACGATGATACAATGATGCTTGTTCTAGACAACTTTTATTGCTCTACTGTTACCATGTCAACATAAATAACTGGGTAATTGTTTATGTCAAGGGAGAAAAAAAAACTAAGAAAAAACTTCTATTTAATATCTTACTACTGAACATGAAGATAACAGCATATTAACCAGAGACATTAGTTAAGCTAATGAGAGAAAATATGATAACTATCCACCATTCAGTACTGCAGGTGGTGACCCTGATGGGGTTAAATATGATGGTCAGAGATTAATACTGGAAGGAGTTTATCCCAGCGACTTAGGCAAAAAGAAATAAAAGCGCTTCTCTGCACCCACGTGTACTTGATCAGTTTCCTCAGGAAAAGAACATTTTCTTTTCATTGTATATTTTTATCCATATCATATGACAATAAATAGTTCATTTACAAGGGGATATTAAGTGAAAACTAACTACATATTTAATTCAAGATTCACGTTCAATCTCAACATAAAATTTAAATTTTTATTTATATTTTTAAGTTTCAATGGTCCAATTTCTCAAATACCAAAGTAATGTTATGAAAATTATAACTTCTGAGGCAGAAGGCAGTTTTATAAAGTTGGAAAACTTCCCCTTTAAATGTGCAGATCTGTCCCCGGCAGTTCGCAGTGGTTGAGAAAAGCATACAGGACGGATATGGGACAATTAATATTCAAACCGTTATTTTGTTATCAACGGGTGATTGGTTTTATTTAGCAGATGAAGATTTTATGCAGAACGCATCTTCTCTTAATTTAAATAACCATTAAAAAAAATAAAAGAGTTGATCAAATGATCTGTATAATTGTCAACGTAGGAAGGTAAGAGCAATAACATAATGAAAATCTTTTGACGTAATTTCATTTGTTTACATACGTCGTGCGGTAACGTCGCAACCCCCCCGCCCTGAGATCGTGACTTTCCCTTTGGATGTTCGAATGGTTTAAAAATGTAACCAAATAAATAAATTAAAATCACTAAAAAGGAACTTTAGACCGACCTTCCATGTCGTCGGCGTTAGGTTACCAGATGTTCATTCGATGTTTTAATAATTATCGAGGCATCAACTGTTGCTGTTTTGATTTGCATCCCTCTTGCGCTGAAACTTCTCAGCAAAGAATGTTTGTCGAGGGAGCTACATAGCTCACTGTTTGACAACACCTAATGGAAATTATTAACTATATGTGACGTACAAATACACACAGGCTTCAGCAAACATGGTAAAAACACACGAGAGAATGAACATTTTTCGTAGGTCACAGCTTCCCTCAGTGACGGCCATCAGACTCCCAACAAGCTAACTAACTTCTACACAGAGAGCGTTAGCAGCTGGCTAGCAAGCTTAGCTAAACGCGTTGAGAGAACCTACCGTCTGTTGCCAGTGACACTTGTTCTGGAGACCGTGGGAAACACCAGACGTGGTGCGTTTTAAGAACGGTGAGCCTGACTTATGACTCGCCCAGCTTCTGTGCCGTGAATTCCTCATACGCTGATAGAGGCACTTATTTTCCCCTTTCTTCGGTCCCACCCAGCAGCCCCGTTTCGAACGACAACAGCTCTTACAAGAGATCGCTCTGTTGTTCGCCGATCTCGTTCTGACTCTGGAAATTCAAATAGTATCGCGAGAGTTTCTATCGCGAAGCGAACGGACTCTGGACTGCTGTATCTCAACTAATGTATTTCTAATAGTACTAACACAGTAATTTTCTAACGGAAAGAAGCACTCCTTAAGCACTGCGAAAAGCTGAGGTGACTGGTAGATAGTTAACATTTACGTAACTTTTTTCGGGGGAAAAAATACGTCTGGGGTAATTCTAGTACCCCAGACGTTTTACTTTTACTTGCGGACTTTCATTATGAACCATCGCAACAGTGTGTTGAGTCATTTTTGGATATTCTCCCCACCTCTGCATAAAACTAAAAAGACAGAAAACCAGAGCCAGTTCTATGCTTTTGGAGGCCCAGGGCAGAATGTTGTTTGGTGGGGCCAACAATGTCCACACATCATTAAGCTTTATATATTGCGCAAGTTGGATTATTGTTGTATTTCTGTTTTGCATTTCGCCTTTATATATAGCTTTCAAACATTTAATATCCTTTTAAGATCAAAAAGTACTTTTTGAATACAATTCCAGCTCAGACAAGCACCCTGTATTCTGCTGTCACATGTCAAAATTCTGGTACAATATTAAGTTAGAAATGACTTAATATTGAGTAGCATACAATCACTCTAACAGTTGCAAAATTTGCTTATGCAATAATGTATGTAGTTATGAGACACTTTATAATAAATCTAATTCATATTCATAAATACACTGCTCAAAAAAATAAAGGGAACACTCAAATAACATCCTAGATCTGAATGAATGAAATATGAAAATAATTTCCACCTGTTGTCTATTCCATTTGCACAACAGCAGGTGATATTGATTGTCAATCAGTGTTGCTTTCTAAGTGGACAGTTTGATTTCACAGAAGTTTGATTTACTTGGAGTTATATTGTGTTGTTTGAGTGTTCCCTTTATTTTTTTGAGCAGTCTATATAACCAAATCAAATCAAGAATAAAAGCAGATTTAAACTCAACTCCAAACTGATTCTAGTAATTACAAAGGAGTAAAATTAATTTTTTAAGGCCAGTCAATAACTAGGAAGCACCCACTGAAAGGGATTTTTTATATTTCTTATAGTATGAGACAATTTGGTAACGAGAGAGCAGACAAGACTCCAAACCCAATCCAAGATAGAAAGGATCATGTGAAAGCCCTGTGTGTACAAGTGATTCAGGAGGAAATGAAGTATAAGCCTGCATAGTTAAAAAGCTCATTAACTACATTCAAATCCTGTCACATGTTTGAAACCCTGTACTTGAATAGGAAATTCAGAATTAAGCAGAAAAACCAAGTAAACTGCTTGTACCAGAATTATGACATGTGACAGCAGAATAGAGGGTGCTTCTCAAACACTTGAACATTCTGTACATATTTTACATTTGCATCAACGCAAAGAACAGAGGCAGATGGTTCACTGCGACGCTTTTATAAATGTTAGGGCATAAAGGTTTGAGTAAGTCCTGTGATTCTGACAACAGTGACACCTAGTGGAGAAAACTGCTGAGAAACTGAAACGTTGACACGTGTGACAAATGGAATATGGTTTCTCAGAGTCCTGTTAATAAATCCCAACACCAGGAAGCGTAATTTCGAATGATGTTTTATTACAGCCAGTAGTTTACGATACAAATCACCTCAAACTACTCAGCAACCATTTCCCTGACATTGCTGACAGTTTGAGCACTGACACAGTAAAATGACATAAAACAGAGGAATGCATTCAAATTTATTACAATTTTCAATTTTATCTATTTTGCTATTTTTTTTAACTAATTTTTGTTTATGATCAAGGTCTAGTCAAACCATCTCTAGACCTGGCAAATTCAATTTCTTCTTTTTTTTTTTTTTTAAGAAATAATTTATCGTTTTGCGATGTTTTCTGAGTTTTAGGTTTTTCAATGTTTAAGTTTTTTTTCTCTTTTTCCATCGGTGAAGCAGGTTTCAAAATGCTCAAGCTGCAAGACAAAGAAAAAAAAAGAAAACAGCAAAAAAAACATAAATCTTTATTCCAGACAATAGTTTGAACAATGTTCATAATGTATAACTGTGTACTGTCTCCACCTTAGACGCTGGGAACACCGGCAGGTGTGGTGGATTTCTGCGCAGCCTCTTTGGCCTGGTGGGCCTGGAGCACAGCAACAGCCTCATCCACCTGAAACAGAAATGTTTATGAACCTCAAAGCAAAAGTAGTGTTTCCACAGAAGTCCATATGTTAAAGATGAAGCAAACCTTGGAGCGCAGAGATTCAGGTGACTCAAGCATGTGAAGCAGCTCAGAGTTGTCTATCTCCAGAAGCATACCGGTGATCTTACCAGCCAGGCTGGGATGCATATTCTGGATCAGGGGGAACAGACGCTCACCTGAGGAGGGAAGCAGTCAACTGGGTCATAAAACAGAACTCAACTGAAGGCGTTTGAAGAGTCCCAGGAATCTCCGTCGGAGCTGATGGTTCACTCACCCAGCATCTGCTTCTGCTCCTGAGGAGGGGCAGCAGCCAGCATGGAAGCAGTCAGGGGCTCCTGACCTTGGACATGGACAGCAGGCTACGGGACAGAAAGACGTCAGCCTGCACCAACTATGCCAATAACTCAGAGTAAGTAACATGGATATCTCCAGATATTAAATATTTCTAGATCAAGTTTCAATGCCAATGTCCCCAATCCAAAAGGGCAGATCTATTCAGTTTAATTCTACGGTTCAAAATTTATTTGACATTTATATTTTGAATCCCCAATTCCATTTTCTAAGCAGTTTAGCGATAACACTAATGTGAATATGTAAAATAAGGCTAGAGCATATGAGTGTGTGGATCTGGATATATTTTGAATCCCTAATTCCACGTTTTTATTTAGACATGTACACCCAGATAAGACGGAAAAATTAACTAATCTATGTCATTTTATTTTTTTAATGAGGCTCCATCTGATAATACTGTAAGTTTATGGGATAGGAGTTCATAGGTTACTTACTTCTTCCTACTCTGTTTTGAGCATGTTAAGATTATCGCACAAAAATGTGTCTTTTGCATTCCTTGCTCATGTGTCATTTCATACTTCTATTATGTTCAAAATAAATAAATAAACAAAACAAAAATCTATTGGTGTATTTAAGTGTGTTCTACTGGTCAAGAGTTATCAAAAATTTTTGTAATTGAGGACATCAAATAGCAATCCAGCACCGTTATTCTATATTGGACTATGTGACACTAAACCTCAGATATTGGTATCAGAAGTGAAAAAAGTGAATCACTATTTGAAACGACTGATTTGTACGTAAATGCAAAAGGCCTTCTTACTTGCTGCATGGCAACTTGTGGCTGGGACGCGATGTGTTGCTGAGGGTTGCGCACACCAGCAGCATATTTGTACCCAGGCATGGCACGGACTGGGGCTGCAGTGGCTGAAGCACTGGCAGGGCGCTGACCGAGGGCCTGGGTGGCTGAGTGGAGAACCATAAAGACGACTGGTTAAAAATGCCCACAGTGAGCGAGCGCTTCGTTAGGATGGTTTGACGCGAATCCTTACGCATGCGCTGGGAGGCCATCATGCGCGGGACCTGGGTGTTAGTGGTAGTGGTAGTACGAATGGCGTTGAAGGTCTGGGGCCTTGGTGCTGATGGACGCATGGCGTTGGGCATGTTTTGGAAATCTGAAGAAATTCCACACAATTAATGCACCAATATCAGGATGTTTAAGAGTCGAACCCACAGTATGCAAGTTTTATAAAAAAAATAAATATTTATATATTTCACATATTTGTTAAAACTGTCACAATATTGTGACACAAGTATGGAAAAATTTGTGAAAAAACAAACAAAACAAAAAGCAAGCCATCTTCTCCCAGTGTTGACTACAAAATACAATCACAGCCAGGAGGAGGGTCTTAGTGCCATCAATCATGCATGTATATACACTGCTCACAACACAATCCCTCCTTTCCTTGGTCTGCGCTACGCTAGTTTCTTTTTAGAGCCTGCTAGTTAGCATGGCCACAGATGACAGTGGATATGGAATGGCAAATTGTTTCTCAGCTATTTAGTGGCGAGAACACTAGGGTGATTGACAGCAATAAGACCCTCCTCCTGGCCGTGATTGCTTGTTTCTGACTGGGAGCGGTGCATTTCTTCAGATGGCTATTGCAGCGCTGGAAAGATGGGAATTGATTTTTTTCAAAGGTCATTTGTCTCATATTATTGTGGCACAACATGGTGAGTTTTAAGAATTATTATTTTTTATATAAAAAGTTACATACTGCAGCTTTAAAGAAACGTAGGAGCAAACGACTTACGCTGAGGTCGCACGCCCTGAGCGGCCCAGCGAGGACCGGGGCGGAGCTGGGCCAACTGGTTGGCAGAGTAATATGCAGCGCGGTTCTGAGCCTAACAAAACCAACATGTATTAAGTACAAATCCACACAAAAGCACTGATGGAATATTAGCAAACAATGTTAATCAGCTGCTTGGGGGTTCACCTGTGGAATAGCTGCCATGAAGTAGCCTGAGGGTGGAGCAGGCTGGTAGGGGTTGAGGACAGGGTTGGGCACGGCCCGGACCGTGGCCATCCTCTGCATGTACTGGTTGGTCAGGTGGGCCTGGCGCTCTTCCTTCCGCTGAGCCAGCGCCACATACAGAGGCTTCGTGGCCACGATGCGCCCATTCATCTCCGTCACAGCTTTAGTGGCCTCTTCCGGCGATGAGAAGCACACGAAGCCGAAACCTTTGCTGCGGCCGCCCTCCATCATCACCTGAAGCAAGAGTGGAAGACATCCAATGCGTTTTCAGACCACCGGCTGATCACGACGAGACGTTTTGTCTGAATTAGAAGACTGGCTTTACCTTCGCACTGGTGATTGTCCCGAATGGGGAGAACTCCTTGCGCAGACGCTCGTCGTCGAGACCGTCGTCGAGGTTTTTGACGTACAGGTTGACACCCTGAAAAAAGAGAAATAAAACAAAATAAAGCCCAGCTGTAATAGAATTTAAAT